GGTGCTTAGAAAGACGCTCCGGATTTTTCCCGCATCTGTGTCGAAGGGACGCGTTTCATTCGCGGTTTTAGACCAATCGGCCACATCTGCCACGACGGACCTCTATTCATAGAGGAGAGGGTTTTCAAATGCATTGGTCTTGTATGGCGCAAAAGACCTCTATCCACAGAGGAGAGGGTTTTCAAAAGCACCGGTCCTGTATTGCGCGAAGGATCTGTATCCACAGAGGAGAGGGTTTCAAACACATCGGCCCTGTATGGTGTAAGGACCTCTATCCATAGATGAGACGGTTTTCAGTACTCTCGAACAAAAGTTTTTGGAAATGGGTAATATCACCCGAGGGCCAATGTCTGTTGAAAGGATTACACAGAGGGATCGCCTCTCAGAGAGAAATTATGCAGCCATTGAAAGCGCCAAATCAAAAATGGTGGAGACGTATCAGTCAAGCACAGTGCACATTTTGTTAGATTATTTCGTTTATTTTCACCTAGTACTTCCAGCAATAAGAGCACAAAAAGCACATAATATAGAGTGGACCATGGCAAAGAGAACGACCGCATGGTATTTTTGCTCATTATGTGTCATGTGCAAATGATGTGCATGCTTATCCAGGCAACTTGGAGCTAATTTGCAATTCTATGTGCATATATCATGTAACGTGCACGCTCATTAGAATAATCAGGAAGGGAACATACATAGTCACATAGCCATCCCTTCTCCCGAACCGAGCCATCTAAGAAAATGAGCAATCCACTTATAAAAATTAAGGGCGCTTATCTCGTTCATTGCGTAAGTAGGTGACCTAGCCATGACCATAGAAGGCTTCCAAAATTGCTTGCAATCCCCAGAATTTGCCCCATTTCTTGTTAGGGACCGGATTGCAAAGTTCCTGGACTTTTGCAAGTCTTGATGTTTTTTCCTTGAAATGCAACCCCTGACTGCCCCTTTGGTCTTATGCTGTCGGAGGAGGAACCAGATCGCACAAAGGAAGGTTTTTGGGGTCGGGTCAATCGTGCCAATCGTGAAATGAAAGCTAGGACGCTCCATGGCTCCTGCACATGATCGCATCAAACTAAGAACACTAGTGGAAGATTATCGGATGTCGATGTGGTGTTGAAACTTGCATTACCGGCTATCACCATGAAGCTTCAAAACTCAAGTTAGCACATTCCCTCGGGTCGCATAGAACCGTCGCATCGCTGAAACCGATGGAAAAGGCGATGTTGAGACCCCCAGAAGTTGCTACTGCTGTCATGATTTTGGAGATAATACTAGATCGCATAGAGATGATCCGCATCGCCGAAGCCAACAAGAAAGTTACTGGCTAGGAGAGTGGCGATGTGAAGTCGCCACCTCGATGTCGACACTTCGGCATCACATCAGGCTGGGTGAAATGGAACTCTAGGTTGCAGAGAACTTTGGTTTGTTCACATGTAAGTGCGATGTCATTGATGCGTTGCATCGATTGGAATAAGGGGACGCCACGGCAAGGAGACCACAATCCTAACGAACATCCAACGGTGCTGCTGCTTCTCGTAAAGAAGAGGAATCTACATGGTCCATGATTTGGTCCCCTGCTGCCCGAATCTACATGGTGGATCCCAATCGTCCCAAACTTCCTCACCGGAAAATGAGGTCGCTCACTGGCTTTGGGCTTGCACTAGATCGCATCAAGATCGCCTCTGACGTATAAACAATGGGACGCCAAACCAACAGACCCCTTGGTTGGACCACCACGCTAAATGGTGAACACTAATCGCCAACGCCAAAACCAGACGAGGCAACGCCAAATGGGGTCCCTTGGTGAGCGCCAAACGCACAAACCTACGGAACTAACCACACCACATGGCTAATGAATGAGACAAAACTGGGAATACCTTGGTGGGCGAAAAAGCAAATGGCTATAATGGGGGCGTGTGGTGGTGGTTGTGTCATGGCTTTAATGGGGGTCCCTGGGTTGGTCGAAGTCGCTAATGAAGGGAATGCCCGCGGTCACCTTGAAAGCGGAGATCGTCGTTGCTGAACGCGGTCAGCGTCGCTAATGAAAGGAATGCCCACGGCCGCCTTGAAAGCAGAGATCGCCGTTGCTGAACGCGGTCGCCGTTGCTAATGAAGGGAATGCCCGCGGCCACCTTGAAAGTGGAGCTAGCCGTCGTTGAACGTGGTCGGCGTAGCTAATGAAGGAAATGCTCGCGGGCACGAAAATTACCGTTGCTGAAGGAAGCTCAAGGTCGCTAGCAGTTGCTGCTCCTCCAATCAATCGCCAGCCGCCACTTGCTAATGCAAACGCAAAAGCGGTTGCCAATGAAGATGGGACGCGTCTTGCCCGAACAAAAATGGGAAACGCCAATGCAGATCACCATTAGAGGCATTGCCACGTGCTCTGCCAATCGCTATGCAACTTCTGCCGGATTTAGGCAATGGAACCTCCAAATCCGATGTTTCTCTCTACAAACGAACCCCAACTGGCGCTGACCAAGTGAAAAAAAGCTGCTCAAAGATTAAATCAACAAGAGTGGTTGTCGATTTGCAGCTTGGTACTCAGCCACATGTTGCCGATGATGATTCATGTCAAAATGGGCTTTCTCTACTTGCTTCTGACCCCATTGATTTCTTGACAATAAACTCGAACGCAACACTCAGTGCGACTGCGCCCGGTGTCTTGCTTGGTCGTAACCTCTTGCTTGGACGCTTCAAGATCGGAATGCAGTACTCGAGGTAACCACGCCCGGTATCTTTCATTGATTACTTGACAGTTACTCAAACGCAGCACTTGGTGCGATCGCTCCAAGTGTTTTGCTTGGTCGCAACCATTTACTTGGGCACTTTGGTGTCGGAATGCAGTACTCGGTGTGAGCGTGTCCGATGTCTTGCTTGGTCGCAACCATTCGCTTGGGCACTTCGGTGTCGGAACGCAGTATTTGGTGCGACCGTGTCAAGTGCTTGCTTAGTCGTAACCGTTTGTTTGCGCACTTCAGGATCGGAATGCAGCACTCGGTGAGACCATGCCCGTTGTCTTGCTTGGTCGCAACCGTTTGCTTGGGCGCTCCGGGATCGGGGGTACAGCTATCCCCGACCTCCTCAGGCCTCTGCCTTGTAGACACTATCAAAGTCCAGGAACACCAACTTAGTAAAAAAGAAAGGTCAGTAAGGAGGGGACGCATTTCTTTATTGCGTCCCCACAGTCGGCGCCAATTATTCGTGCGTTCCTTGGTCAGTCCACGGGACAGCGTCTATAATTCCTAAAATACCCTGCAAAACAGAGATAGCACTCCGATGCCAAAGTCAGAACTTTTAGAGAGAGAAAGGAAAAGTATTAAATGCTATGTAGAGAGAGAATGATATCAAAAATATATGCCTTGTGGTGCTTCCTTTTATAGATCAAAAAAGGGAATATAAGAATATTCTCTTGCACATGGGTCCACATGGATACTAGTGGATCATTTGGCTAATTTGACTAAGGCCCAACGAGGCAGTAGCCTAATTGCCCTATCAATTGCCCCTACTAGAGGCTAAATCCCGTGAATTTGTTCTGGGTTTGGGCTCTAGTAATCGAGCCTTTGCGATTTGGGTCTCTGTAGGTGCGGCCTGCTTTGCTAACACTTCAGGGTGGGTGGAGGGCTGCTCCATCATCGGACGGCTGAGGTAAGTCCTGAATGACCAACGGTCCATGTCCTATTACCGTGAGACTAACAAACAAATCAGTTAAATAAATGAAAAAAATTGTTGATTGATGGAATGACCATTTTAAATATTGTTCATAAGTGTTGGATATTCCGATGAATTAAAATTTAGTAATTTTCTTATTTATTAACCCGTTTTCACTTGTGTTGAGCCAACCCGTGAGACTAACAAACAAATCAGTTAAATAAATGAAAAAAAAATTGTCGACGGACTGAATGACCATTTCAAGTATTGTTCATGAGTGTAGGACATTCTAAAGAATTAAAATGTAGTAGTTTTCTTATTTATTAACCCGTTATTACTTGTGTTGAGCCAACCCGTGAGACTAAGGCTCTGTTTGATAATCACTTAATATAATGACTTAGTTTATTTAAGTACTTAATGAAATTAAGTATGTTTGATAATTGCTACTAAAAAGTCTTAATGAATTAAGTTCTGAACTAATTAAGTACTTATAAATTAAGTGCGTTTGATAACTAAAATTTCACTGTCTGAATTAATTAAGTGTGTCTGAATTTCCAGTTTAATTGTAGGCTAGAAAATAATTAATAGGCCTACCACTTATCACTTATCACTTAATTTCTGTAATGACTCTTTTTTTTTCATTTTCTTTTTTTCTTTTTTTTTTTTCCTTCGTCTTTATTTCGACCCTTATTTTTACATTGTTTTAAAATTTTTATTTTCTTTAGATGAATTAATTAAGAGTGCTTAAAGTTGAATTTATATTATGAGTATAAAAGATCTCAAATTTTCAAACTCAAATTAAACTTATTATAATACATGAAATTTGCTAAATAACAAGGTATACATATATATACAATAATCTAAATTTAATTATATATTGATTATTTACCAAGTATAATATCTACTTTCATTATATATACCAAAAACTTATTTCGAAATTATGATTTTATTATTTAGAACAAAATATTAATTATTTTTTTATTTTAAAAATTTTGTTTATAATTCAATTTTAATGATATTAAAATTTTAAATAACTTTCAAACCTGAGTATTCAGATTCAGTCTTCAGACTTTAGACTTCAGTTTTCAGACATCAAATTCAGACGTTTTTATTAAACAATGTAAATTCAGTTTTCAGACTTCAGACTTCAGTGTTAAGTGTTAAGTGTTCAGATTCAGACTTCGGTGATTATCAAACGGAGCCTAACAAACAAATCACTTAAATAAATGAAAAAAAAAATTATTGACTAACGGAATGACCAATTTTAAGCATTATTCATAAGTATAAGACCTTCCCATGAATTAAATTTAATAGTGACCAAACTGCTGACTTTTGTATGATTTAGTGACCTTCTAGAATTTTACTCATATATTATAGATTATTTTTATTGGATCCCAATAAATCTGAAGATAAACTGTACAAAAACTGAAATATATGATACAATTGCACAGCTATCACTAACTACGTAAGTTAGCTCATTTCAGTCACTGCAGCACCGGAGTTCAAAAAGGGAGCCATACGCAAAAAGGGTCTCCTCCCGGCTGGAAGCAACAGCTCTTGGAATAGCTCTCCAACCAACGAATATGGTGGGTAAGCGATCCGAGATGCAACCAAAATTGGGGAAAAGAAAAGCTAGAAACTTGTCATATTTACTCCTCTTTCCTATCATATATGAACGATACTGCTAGTGCTAAGCGATCTGCTTGTTGCTCGCCGTGATAGGGTTTGACAAACCTGCTTCAGGAGCAGCATTTAATGGGCGAAACTTCTTTGATTGAGGTAATCGAGCCCTTTTAGGGAAGCTCCTATTAGAGGCAGGACGTTTTCTTGTATTCTCTTGCACTGACCGGGTATTACCGGGTGGTGCAGGCCGTCCTCCATGATTAATACCCAACTTTCGGGAGTTCCCCAAGGTGGTTGCTGATGTTTTCCAATTTGCCCTTTCAGTTCCCAACTGCGCAACTTTTCGTCTGAGTTCGTCTGGTGAGTATTCAGCTTGAAGACCACGGTCCAAAATGCATTTGATAACATCTCTAAGGGCGGATATTTCATCAGAAATAGCATTGTCCTGTCCGCAGAGTTTGATAAATTGATAATTGAGATCAGACCAAAAGAAAAAACATACATTAGATAACAGGAAACAAAACAAAGGATAACTAACATACTCGTTCCTGAGAAGTAGCTTTCTCATCCTTATATATTTTCATGGCTGCCAGCTTTGTGTGTAAAACATGGCTCCTCAAAAGAACCACAGGTGGAATCTTGTCAACTAAATTGAACTCATAAACGTACTCAAAAGCAAGAAGGCACTGCTTGTTTTCAACGAGCTTTGTAATGAAATCTGTAGCAAAAGGTCTTCTTAATTAAACCAGAGGCTTGTCAAAATGATACATAATAAATTAAATATTACAGAAGCTGCCTAAATTAAAATATGCCCTCGAAAGAAACAGGGGAAAGAGAGACTACCAACAAATAGTTGAGTATAAAAGCAACTATCAAAATTTCCAAAACAAGAATCAAAACATTAGGTGGTAATGTACGCAATTAGGCACTTGGACTTTTAACATTTCTAGAGCCCAGAAACCAACTTCTCGAAAAAAAATTGACAAGCCCCTTCATTAATAAATCTGCTGAGGAAAACACCAATGTTCTCCAAAAATGATCAATACCTCTAACAAGCCTCCTACAACAATTATGCTACTCCAGGTTCAAGATTGACTCAAAATTTTTTACAGGCAAGATCATGTCTTTCATAATCAGAGCATGTCAAAAAGTCAGCAATCCACTAATATTGGAGATGAACCTCAATCCAATATCTGTTTTAACAGAATCTGCAATTTAGGTTGGTTTAGGTTGTTTTCTACTTATAATAGAATAAGAGCATGGTGGAATTCTATTACAGTAACCGTGCAGTACCATTACACGCGTGGATTAAACAAACACGAACAGTATGAAGAACTTCAAGACATTTATAACTAAATGCAACTAATCACCAAGAGAACAACGCCTGGCAGCAGCTCATTTAGCAGAGCATAACACTAATGACATGGAGTTAAATGAGTGGCACGACAACAGAAAGTAAAACAGCAGTAAATCATACCCATATAAGTTTTGTACAAGAACCCATCAAACACCCCACTTCCACCCCCTAATAAGAGTCCTCTCTTGAACTTATTGTCACCTTATAGTGTTCACCATAAAATCTTTCCAATTTACACGATTCAGACTTCTATAACAGTTATTAAAGCAAATTCTACCTCCAATAATCACTATAAGGCAACCAACCAAAACGAGATAAGGAAATCATCACAGACATAAGGATTTGGTGTAAAACAAGTTCTCATATCTTCAGGGGAGAGGAAAGATTAAGAAGATAATAAGGGTAAGCGATTGTAGCCCGAAGGTATTGGGTGTAAAAAATTGGGGCTGCTATCCACCAGGAAAAAAGAAGGTAAAAATATATCAGCTTTAATATACTTCAGGCTTTCTTGCTTTACTATCCAGCCCAAGTCTGGCTGAGAAAATAGGTAGAATGAGAAACAGAAGATTTATATACTAATTGTAGTGAACCACAATAAAGAAAATGAAAAGGAAGAATGAAAACCCGAGTTTCCTAACTTACGAAAAAAACTTTCAAACAGACCCAACTCTATTGAACAGACCCAGAACCAACCCAAAACCACCACCTTTTCACCTCACCCATTCATCAAAAAAGAAAAAAAGAAAAAAGAAAATGAAACTACAAGTGACTCCGCCTCATCTCTTGTCGCTATGACGGTCTGATCTGCAATACGCTACACTCTGCTGTACCTAACAAACTCAAGTTACAACCTAAACCTAATAAGTACTGGGTTAAACCTAATATAACCATAAATCTCATGGACTAGAAGCTCCCCAAACTAAACAAGTTAATTAGGTTTGGCATATTTGCTAACATTTTCTATCTTGTCATGAGAGAGAGAGAGAGAGAGAGAGAGAGAGAGAGAGACAGACAGACAGGCAGACAGACAGGCAGACAGAGAGGGAGAGAGATAGATACAGATACACATACATATACATATATACAAATATATATATGTATAGAGAGAGAGAGAGAGAGAGAGAGAGAGAGAGAGAGAGTACCAGGAATATTAGCTTCCAAGTTGAGAAATCTAATTAATTTACAAGCCTCCTTAAGCAGTTGAGGTGGAACCTCCAAAAGAGCAAGAAGATATTCGGCAGTGAAAGCAGATGACAATCCATAGACACCTACAAACTGCAAAAATGCTAATACTTCCCAAGAATTTGAACCTGACAAGTTCTGTTTCCAACCATTGGCAACCTTGAAAGCTCTTCTGTTCACACAAGGTTTGATAGTTGGGGAAACACTCATCAGTTGCCTTAACAGGTGAAATAAACTCCTGGCGACCAACTCAGAGATCTTATTCCTAGGGGAGTCAGAGAAATAGCTAAAATCTAAGGCATCCAAAACAAGTACTGCTGGGTCCGATGAATGTTGAATAAACCTTGGAATTTGGGTGCAACAAAAACCGTGCATTCCTGATTCCATATAGACATTGCTACACAAAGGCTGGACACCTTTTTCTAGAGATACAGTAGAAGTTGCTGATTTGATATCCAACTGCAAATCATCTTCCCTAGTTTTTTGGATTTCTAACTGAGGATGAACCGTACCTGTCAGAAAAAGGTTGGTATGTCAGATGGAAACTAATTAACTCATGACAACAACAGCAAAAACAGCAACAGGATAGGTAACAGAAAATGGTTAATTCGAGCTGCTTACCAGAAATCATTTTTGAAATGCCAAGTGACTGACATAACCCTATGAGAGATGTATCCTTTGAAACAATTTCATAAAGTGGTAGAAGTTCACCAACATCAAATGCAGAAATCAACCTAAAGCTACTTACAAATAGCAGAAAAACTCCAACCAACAATGGACTTCCAAAATCAGCCATTATCTTTGCCTTCCAATCCAAGGCCATTTTAAGTGTCACGTCCCTCACATCAACAGAAATAATTGTTGAAATTCTCATTAGTTGCTCTAGCAAAAAGATGCAACTCCTTAACCCTTGTTCTTGAGGGTAAGAGCTATAGAATCCTTCAACCACATTCAACACAAGTTTGGATGAGTCATCTAAAATTTGCAGAGCAGTAAAAACTTCACTCTGTAACAACTGATGATCAACCGAATACATATCAAGGAAAGACAGCAATCTTTTTCCATCCATATTGGCTAGGAGAAAAGCCATAGCATGTGGAGGGCTGACGCCTGTGTTTAACACAGGATCCTTCTTCCAGCTCTTCAAGCAATCTGGAAAATTAGAGGATGAAATAGTTCCAACTTCACTATTGTGTTGATCTTCAGCAACCATATTTGTATTGTTTCCAGAGCCAACTGGCGTTTCTCTACTGTCAACCTCTCTCCTGACTTGGCCTTTATAATGATCAACAAATTCAGAACATTTTCCTTGTAACTTCTGCATCGACAGCTGCTTAATTGTGTTTAAAATATCTCTGGGTGAATATTGAGATTCGAGCTTACGCTGAACAACACATCTGAGGACAGCTTGGGCAGCAGCTATTCTTTGGTCAATTTCATCACTCTACAAGCACAAAATAGAATGTTAGAAGAAATTAGCATCTATATCAAATTATTAAAGGCAAAAACAGAAGAACCCCAACAAACGTGTTGTTCAGTGTTCTTGGGCATTACCTTCCCGGTTCCTTTAAAGTGTCTCATATACTGCCTCAAGATAGGCACTGGTGGGAATTGTTTAACAAGGCCAAAGCAATATATTAATTCAATTGCTCGGAGGGAATGTTTAGCAACTTTCAGAAGATTTCGAATTAAACCTGTCATCAAAAGTATGAAGTATCAAATCAGTCAATCAGCAAGCCAGAGAAGACCCTGCGAAACTCATTTTGAAACTATATAGAAAGTGCCCATAGACTCAATATGAAAAAATCTCATTAATTCATTCAATTTCCAAATAGGGTCATAAACTAAATGGAAAAAGATTAAAAAGAAAAAGAAAGAAAAAAGCTATACGCTTGAAAAAAGATTCATTTTATCACAATCCCGAAGATAACAATATTTATTAATAAAAAAAAAATGATAATGAGTATCACACTTTACATGGAACAAAGCATTGACCATATCAATTTGGAAGTAACTTCCTAAATAGTCTCTTAGAAAGATACTTGCCTCAAGACTTCAGTCAAATTGCTCTTCACAAAAACTAATTACTTAGGAACATAGTAATGACTGATTGAACAATATTTACTGCATTGAAAGCAAGGAATTTTACTTTATCAAAACAGTTGAAGAAACATGAAAAATTAATTACGCATTAGAACATGCACTGAATGGGGAAGTCAACCATCAACTGATGATCAAAAGTTAAAAAAAAAAAAAGAAAACAAAACCTTAACCAACCTGGTATTTTGTCCCTCAAACCAAGACGAACACACAATGCGGGTATTTGTTCATGCTCGACAGCAGTTTCCAAAAGTTTCAGGAGCTCCTCTTTATCAAATGCAGAAGCCAAGTGAAACGAAGCCAGAAGGTATAAGAAGCCCAACACCTCTAGAGAATTCCCAGTCACCATCATTGCCTTCCAATCCCGTGCAAGCCTGAGAGCATGCTCCTTCTCAATGGATTCAATTTTTGGGGAAATTCTAATTAATTGCTCCAACAATACAATGCAGCTGCTGGCAACAGTCCCTTCAAATTTCATATCTACCTTCTTTAGATACGGAGGATAAAGTAATTCTATTGCACTTAGTACCATATCTGCTGGGGCTCCCGATTTTCGAAGAGCCTTTAAAACTTCATCCTTTGAGCTGAGGTCAATTTTGAAGCCATTCAAGGACATATGCACATCCAGACCATCTAGCTCTACAGAAAGTGTAAAATTAGGAGAAGATGAACCACTATTCATACCATCATCAACTACTTTCTTAACTGGCTCTAGAGCACAAAGTTCATCATTCAAGTTCTTCCTCTCCTCTTCAAATTTCTTCTCTCTAGCTTCAAACAACTTGATCCTATCCCCAAAATCCTTCATCTTCAGTTCGATTTCCTTATTTCGTTTCTCCCATGACTCCTTTTCAGACTGCCATTGCTTCTCTTTTAACTGACATTCCTCCAAATTCGCCCGAGCAACCTCCTCTAGTTCTTTCCTTTTTACTTCCAATAGCTTCTCCCGAACTTCAAGTTCTTTCAAACCCGTAATCCTATCTTCAAATTCCTTTCTTTTCGCTTTCAGTTCCTTAATTTCATCTTCTAGCAACTCTTTCTCAGACTGGCATTGCTTCTTTTGGAACAAGCACTCCTTCAAACTCCTTTCCGCATCCTCAAGTTCTATCTGTTTTGCGCCCAAATTTTTCTCAATCATTTCGAAATCTTTTAGATTCTTAACCCTACATTCTAATTCCCTCCTTTTCAACTCCAATTCCTTATTTCCTCTCTCCAACAATTCCTTTCTTTCTGTGTATGCCTTCTCTTTCAATTCAAATTGCCTCTCTCTCAAGTCCAACTCTTTCTTTTTCACTTCGAATTGTTCCTCCCTCATATCCAGTTCTTTCACGCGCTGATGATGGAATGCTAACAGTTTATCAATCTCCTTCTCCTTCCACTCAAGATCCTGTCTAATCAATTTCTCCTCTTTCTCCTTCATCTCAATTACCCTTTCCCTATCTGCCCTCAAAGAATCCTCCAATCCCTTACAACTAATCATCTTTTCGCGCTCCTTAACTTTCCTCTCCCTATCATCAAGCTCGTTTACTTTCTTCAAAATCCCATCTTCAATCAATTTAATCTCTTTCCTCCTCTCCTCAATATGCTCCTCCTCCAACCCCGCCTCCCTAAGCCTCTCTTCCACCAACTTTTCCAATGCCGCCAACTCATTCTTGTCAAGCTCCAATTTTTCAGAAACCCCATTGATCAAAACCTCTTTCTCATTCAATTCCCTCTCTTTTTCCTTCAATTCCTCAACCAATTTCTCCTTGCCCTCCTCCCATTCCTTCTCCTTCACGGCCAACCCAACCAGCCTCTTCTCCTCATCCTCAATACACCGAACCCTCTCCTCAATATGTTCCCTCAACAACTTCAACTCCTCGGAACTCTGCCTCACCGATTCCTCAACGGAGTTCAGATTTTTCTCCCGGGACTCGAGTTCCGAGTAGCATTCCCGAAACTTCTTCTGGGTCGTCTCCACATACTCCTCGTAATCCTTGTAATTGCTCACAACTGCAAAAATCGATCTCTTAAACCCGTTCTTCTTGGCCTCGCAGGAATCAAGGCTTTCCGAAATCTCTTCCAAAAGCCCCATAACCACAGTTCTTGCATGTGCTTCTTCAAGTGATCACGAATGCAGTTTTTTTCAAAAACAAAATCCCTTTACAAAAATATGCGTCGTCTGCCTGCAATTAAACAAGGTGATGAAACTCCAGATCAAAACCCTAAGGAAATCCCAATAGGTTTCTTTTGGTGGAGAAGAAACGGTTTCTGTGCGTGTAAGTAGTATTATTATAGAAGACTATATAGAGTGGTGATCAGAGAATTCAAACCAGAGTTTAGGAAAGACGACTCCGATAATTAAAGGGCCGTTATTTTGGTGGGCATGTTGGCCCAATTCAAATAGTACATTAGTAGTAGTACAACCACAACTTTTATCAATGAGATTACCCGTTATGTATCTCTATATCTAGTAAATTAATAAAAAAAGCAAATTAAAATGATGACGTGGAGTCGTGGGAAGCATTATTATTCCCTCACTTCGTTTTAGTCGCCGACTGGTCAGACTTCCAATCAGTCTCTTGACTCTTCACTATCCAAGCTCCAATACCACTACCATCATCATCATATAAAAAAGCACAGAAAAATATTTGAAGGGTTGGGTTAACTTTTGTTCTTCTTTCTCGCCTGCTCGAATCTAGCAATGAAACCATTGGGGAAGACGAGTCTTGGGACAGAGGATGATGTGGATCTGAACTCGGTGATTAAGGTTTCACAGGAGTTGATCAATAAGATGGAAGCTAAAGCGAATTCGTTGTTGGAAAAGGAAGAATCATATCTTTGTTTGGAGCAAAAACTTGTTGACCAGGAGAAAGAGATGACGATGTTCTTCGAGAAAAAGCTGGAAGAATTGGAAATGAGAAAAGAGGAAGTGGGTTCAATTTTGAAGGAATTTTTGGCCAGGGAAGAGAAATTGAACGAACAAAAGGAGTTGATTGCTGGGCTTTTTGAGAGGTTTGGGTCCGAAGAGAAAAAGGTGCAGGAAATGTTGGGGAAAAGGGCTAGGGATCTTGATGAGAAGGAGGAGGAATTGAAGGTACTGGCAAAGCAAATTGAGCTCAAGGGAAAACTCTTGGAATTGAAGGAGAAGAAGCTTGAGGAAGAATTCAAAATCAGGGAAGAGATCATGGAACTGAGTGAGAAGAAGAGGAGGAAAAAAGGCTGATTCTGCAGGGAATTCTGATGCTGTTGTGATGAATGGTGAAGTTAGTAAACTGAACTGAACCATTGCTTCAACATCCTGTAAAAGAAAAAGGGGTCTCTTAAGGTTAACAACTTGCAATCCGTGATGTCTTAACTGGCTTCATTGCATTCTGTTAGTTCAGAATTTCTCCGTCCTAAGCTTTTGTTCTGATGTAGATATTGCTGATGATATTTTAATTTTAGACAAGTTAAAGTTGGTGATGCCATATTTTTGTCTCCTATTATTGTGTTTGAAAGCATATCCGTAGAAATATATCTGTCAAAAGCATGCCTCTTGAATGTATATTGTATAGTGTATGAGTTATTGTTTGTCTTCTAGAAGCTAAAGAGATCAGATGTCGTATGTTAGAGTTTTGATAGTAGCTAGGTTGTTGAGGATGTCGGTCGGTATGAAAATAAGAAACCTGCATGCAAAAGAAGTCTTCTTGTGTAGCAAAGATATAAATTTGTCAGCTAAAACCACTTCCAAGTCTGAGTTGAAAGGGTGATCAAAGATGAATTTTGGGTGTTAGCCAACTTCAGTTTAAAATAGGTGCAAAAATGTTTGTTTAATCGAAAACTAAATGATTGGGCTGTCTCACTATGGTGGTCTTCATCATTGTTGATTCAGTTGGTTATGATTTGGAAAGAAAGAACGAGATAGAATGAAATCTCTTTTGGTTCAGTTCACATCCTCAGTTTTCCTTTCAGTTAACTACCAAGCGTTAGCTTATGTAAAACTAACCCTTAATGTACTTTAGAGTAATTTGGTTGGTTTTCTTCAAATTGAAGAAGTGTACATGATCTCCGAAATTCCTGCACCATTAGAAGAAATTAAGAACATATGTTCCCGAATTCCTACTGCTCTGTTGTGCCTATGGCAAATTTCAAACTCTTCATACCATTGGAAAATGTTTTCATCTGTTGGCAATGCTTTGTGAAGTGCATTTTTTCATGCGAATATGTTCTGCCACATATTGCTCGTTTCTCCATTGTCATCAGGTGTTTTAGGTCAGCAAAGCTTGAGGTTTCGGGACCTCAACATATCTGAAAAGTTTGCATCTTCTTCCCTGCAGGGCCATTAGCTACTAAGAAATCGAACTTCTGTAACATTGTTGTAGCTTTTGCCGTAATTGCTTACCTTTTTATCGGACTTTTTACTTATTTTGAACAAGGTTGAAGTTCTCAGGAATCTCCTTAATTTGCATTACCCGGAAAATTGAAAGAGCATAACAGATATGGTTATGGTCAACGGAGTAAAGGGTCGAAAAGTGAACTAAACTGGAGGGAATCTGCATTGCAGTCCTCTATATGACACTAAATACTCCATCCTTCCTTCTCATTTTGATATTTGCTCTTTCTTTAACTAAAGATAATTGGATCCCTAGGTTAAGGAACTGCCAGGACAAATTGATTTGGGCTGAAAAAGAACATGGCAATTATACGGGGAGGTTTTGATAAAAAAAAGTTTCCATATAAAAAATAAACAACAACTTGGGGGCTGGGAACTTTACGCCTATGTTACCCGGACTCTTCTATTTGGGGAGAATACCCGTGTCGTTTCGTGTCAACACTGGTGTGGGTATGAGTGTCGGGTGTGGCATTTTAGCCTAAAATGTTTAAGATTTTTAAAATATTGACGAGTCGGACACTCAGATCCCCGCACCCGATATACACCCGTATCCGAGTCCAGGTAACATAGCTTTACGCTTGAACTTGCAGCAGCTTTACCTAAGGTCTGGGATTATTATTAGCTTTGAATCAGAGTTCTCTGTTTTGTTCCTATCGTTTCTGCTAAAACCCTAGCAAAGTTTGAATTGGGAGATTTTGGGCTGATACCGATGATAGATGTACTCAAGGAAACATTCTTGGACACGCTGTCTCCGATACCGGAAGACCGTTCCGAGGGCCACTATGTTCTCTCCAAGGCAGCCAGACACCCGGATTTCGTACCCTCCGTTCTCCTGATTATTGCGGACCCTTCGGTTGACGAACCGATCCGAAAAGCAGCCGCCGTGATCTTGATCGACCACGTTAAGTCCTGCTGGGTGGTTCCGCCATCCTTTCCGGTTTTTACTGATGAGGATCATCAAGCTTCGCTGAATCCACCTTTACTGGGTCCCGAGAAAGAGCTGATTAAATCTCAAATTGTTTCATTGATGCTCGATTCGGGTCCCAACATTCAACCACTGATAATTGAAGCCATATTAGAAATCTGTAAGAATGATTTTCCCAATAAGGTGGCCTTCTTTGTTGCCTGATTTGGTTTCCAGGCTCGATTTATGGGGTTTTAAGCTCAATTAATGCTCTCTTTGATAAGTTTAAGGATGAGGAGTTGCGAATTGAGTACTGTCCAGATATTTTTGCTCATCCATTATCCTCAGTGTTTCAGAGGATCGCCGGGTTATTATTAGATCTGTCTGCTGATCCAACTGTTCTCAGCTACTACATTGACTCCCAAACTCTGTGCTGTAAGATATTGTATTCACTCTGTTTTGGGTACTAGCCCAAATTTTTCAAGGATCATATGAGTGAGTGGATGGTTGAGTTTCAAAAGTATTTAAACCTTAATTATCTGTCTGAGGAAGGTTTGGACCTGGACTATAAAAATAATGAGTTGGTGTCCGCACTTGATGAGTTACGGGCTGCTGTTTGTGAGAATATTAGTCTTTTCATAGAGAAAGATGATGAAACCTTCATCAATGATTATTTGATTGGGTTTGTGGACACTATTTGGGGTCTCCTTCTTGCTGCCTCACCCTCTTCTTGTAGGGAGGAAGTTACCATTAAGTTCTTAACTTGGGTTAGCTCGAGTCCACGTCATGATCTGTTTGCTAGCGACCACATTTTGCAGCAAGTTGTTCAGGGTATCATCATCCCCAACATGATGTTGACTGACAAGGAGGAATAGTTGTTCGACATGAATTGCGCCGAGTTTATCAGAAGGGACATGGGAGGGAGACACAATGTAGAAACCAGCAGGAGGGTGGTTGCCTGATAGCTTCTTAGAGGGGTTGCAGTTCATTACAAAGTAAAGGTTACCCGTGAAGTCTCTTGTGAGATACAGGAATGTTTGAATCGTGTCCATTTGAACCCTGATGGAAATTGGAAATACAAAGAGTGCTTGATTTCTTTGGCCGTGTCTCTGTTGCTTGCTACTAGAAAAGCCGGTGGGGCTTCGTTGAGTACAGATCTTATTGATATCCCGAGGTTTTTTTGGTGGAAAATTATGCCGGAGTTGACAAGTGATGACCTGAATGGTTTTCCTATGTTGAAAGCTGGTGCTTTGAACTTTGAAGTTCCTGACAATGTTTGGAAATGATATAGGGATTCTTGAGCCGCTCGCCTTGCTTCCTGTTTTGTTGTTGTTTCTGGATTTGGAATCAATTCTTCTTCGTTCATATGCAGCAACCTGCATTGAGAAATTCATGTTGGCGAAATATGATGTTAGGCTGTGGTACTCTACAGATATGCTCGCCGAAAAGGTACCGAGGAAACTTGTCAGTGCGTTGGAGCTGGAACCCGAGGGGAATGAGTATGTGATGAAGTGTATCTTGAGGGTTCTTGGAGTGGTTGAAGTCTCACCTGATGTTGCTTTGTCTTGTCTCTATTATTTAATCGAGCTTGTCGATATGGTTTGCAGGAATCAGGCCATCAAGAGCCAGGTATTCTGTCAGTATATGTTTGAATCAGTGGCTGCCCTTGTTAGACAAGCGTCCGAGAGGGATCCATCTATATTTTCTGCACTTGAAGCTGTGCTTTTCCCTAGGATGCAATTTCAGGTTTTCGTGCACGAGAACATAGGTGAATTCTTACCGTACGCTCTCCAGCTGCTGGTACGGCTTGTGGAGTTAATTCGCAAGCCTATGCCTACCGAGTATGTCGAGATATTTGAGGAACTTCTGACTTGCAATTTATTGGGTGTCTCCAATTATGTTGTTCCTCTTGTTTATTTGCTTCAGACTTTCCTTCGGAATTTGCCTCATGATGTGTTGGTTCAACAGGGAAAGCTAAAAAATGTTCTCTATAAATGCTCTGAACTGCTGTCCACTAGTAGCTCACCTGATCAAGGGTTTGCGTGCTGATTACCGTGATCGAAAACTTTACCTACGATGTGATTCAACCCTCGTTAACTGCCATTTGGGATGAAATGTATGCCAGACTGTTCGCCCGCGATGAGGACGTGAAGTTTCTCAATAAGCTTGTGATATTCATGTCGCTATTTGTTGTTAGTTACGGTGTAGATAAACTTGTGGCTTCTATCAACGCTGTTAAGAACGGGTTATTTCTTCGCTTTTTGGAAAAGGTCTGGATACCTAATCTTGAAATGGTCACTGGTTTCATTAAAATGAAGCTAACTTCAGTTGCTACGACCAAACTTATCTGCGAATCGCCAAATAATATTTGGGAATCCGGTCATGCTGGGAAACTGCTTAACAATCTTGTTTCAAGATTTGAGGAGCGAGCAGTTGCGGATGAGTTGGAAGTTCTCGATGTCGTGGATTGGAAGAGAGAAGAGGACCATCTGGATGAAATTAAGGACACGAAACAGTTTATGGTGGTTTCCTTGTCAAAATTATGTGCTTCTTCTCCTGGAAAGTATACTGATTTTATTGCAAACAGTCTTGATCAAGCTAGTCAGGCTGCATTGTCTCGGGTCCGCGCAACTTATGATGTATCTTTAGTTTGAGGAAGAGCAGAGTCTTCTAACGTTTTTCTGATGGCTATTCGAATGAAATGATTTTCTGTTCCTATTTATGATTTTTTATGTTTCGTTATCTCAATTTATTGACCTGATTTTCAGTCCAATTCAGAGATTTGAGATTCAATTCTGAAATAAAGTTCTCTTACGCCACATGCTAAATTCTTTCGTGGAAAGAATCCATCTTCGACTTCAACCAAAACGTAAAGCTATAAACACCATTGTAACGCCTTTCCTATCATCTGAACTAACATTGCCTGGTGATATATATGCAATCTACTTGTTGCGCAGTACGAGAAGATTATCGGCAACTGGACAGTTCAAAGATGCCGGAGCATTTCACAGGCGAAACTTCTTTGATGGTGGTAATCGTGTCCATTTAGCGATGCCCCTACTTGAGGCAGGGTGTTTTCTAGTATTCTCTTGTTCTGACCGGGCCTTTCCAGATGCACACAATCCTCTTTTATCATTGTCCAACTTTGGAGAGTTGCTCAAGGGTACTGCTGACAGTGATGCTTTCAAATTTGCCCTTTGAGTTTCTAACTGCGCAACTCTTTGTCCGAGTGCGTCTGGAGAGTACTCATTTTGAAGACCACGATCCAAAATGCATTTCATAACTTCTTTAAGAGCAGAGATTTCATCAAAAATAGCACGGTCCTGCAAGCACATTTTAATAAAATGTTAAAGAAATCATCAGACCGAAAAGATCATGTCAGAAAAGAGGAAGACATCAAAAGGATGACATACTTGTTCCTGAAGCGTAGCTTTCTCATCTTTGCATATTTCCATGGCTGCCATCTTCGCTTGTAAGACATGGTTCTTCAGAAGCTCCACTGGTGGAATCTTATCAACTAGATTAAACTCGAAAACATATTCGAAAGCAAGAAGGGGCTGTTTCTTTGCAATGAGCGCTGTTACAAAACCTGTAGCAGAAGAGTTTCTTTATGTAAATATCAGTAGCATGTCGGAAAAGATAAAATATACATATCGAACCTAGCAAAACCATGGTATCACCGCAAATGAAAAGGAAAAAGGAAACAATGTATTTTAGGTTAGATGAAACCACACATATTTCGTGTAAGAGCAACCACCAAAACTCCATATCAGGAAAAAAAAAAGGAACTTGGGCAGTGATGGCAAGGATATTTAGTAGCCTAAAACATTCCTTCAGTCCAGAAACCTAACTTCTAAGAAATTAAAATGACAACCATTTTTTTAATTGATCTCCTAGAAGAAATCATCTATCCGATTCAAATACTGCCGAGAAAATCCCCTTAACATGCCTCCAATTATAATTGCGACTTCAGGTTCAAGTTTGGTGTGAAAATTTTATATCATCATCAGAATGCGTCGGCACCCTCAGCAGTTAGCAATACATTACTACAGAGTTGAACCCTTTCTTCAAACTTCTGTTTTAACCTTTAACATAATCTGCAGCTCAAATAGGGCTAGACTGTTTTCAAATTTCAACTGTTATAGTAAATTATGGGTGCCAAGTGGACTTCTATGGCAGTTATCATGCGGCAAACGCTATGCAAGTGAAACACAAACTGTAAAATCACATTTAAGTACCATCAAATGTATATCTCGAAAACAAGGCATCAAGTTGATCAATCCCTTGCAATTTACCATACTTCACATGGAATTACTCAACAGACAATGTGGCTCTGGCTCTGGCTCACAATCAACAGTGACCCTCCTCAAACTGAACTTATCCACCATGGTGAATCGCGCGACTACAGTACAAAATTCATCACACTACTCTAACTAATGTTTTCCAAAAACAAAAAACGGTTATTCCTAACAAATTTAAGTATTATGACCTACAGTTTGGGAGGAATATTTAAGTACTATAGTGCAGTTGTATGAAGTGTATGAATGTTCCAAATTACTAGCCCACTAAGTAATTACTGAGGCCTACACATAGCTACAATTACGGTATGCTAGTCAAAGGGAGGAAGGTAAAAAGTTTTTCTCCATAATTTGCATACAGACAATAGAAAGTTGGGTTGGAATCAACATATAGGTTCTCAGAGAAACCCGAGATTCCACTCCAAATGCATTAAGCTTCAACGATGGATTATCAGAGGGGAAAAGACCAATGCTTCTGTTTAACTGTACAAACAAACTAATTGAGAAGATTGTGGATTTTATCATGGTAAACGGATGTGGAAGAAGATAACTAATGAATTCTGCATGCCACATGTCTTTCGTAAGTGTAGTAGATGATCCAACTCAAACAGAGATAATTACCCTCCTACACATAAATATTTACCGAAGCATCACAGTTTGTCTTTGCTGGCATTTTCTTCCCATGAGAGAAAGAGATCTTACCAGGAACCTTGTATTCCAAGCCAAGGATTCTAATCAAGGTACTAGCCTCCTTGAGTAGTTTAGGAGGAACCTCCAAGAGACCAAGAAGACATTTGGCACTAAACGAAGATGACACGCCATAGACAACTACAAGCTGCATGAATGCTAAGACCTCCCAAGAATTTGAACCTGACAAGCTTGATTTCCAACTATGAGCAACTTTTAAAGCTCTTCTTTTCACGCATGGTTCAATCCTTGGGGATACATTCAGCAGTTGCTTTAGCAAGTAGAAGAAACTCTGGGCAATCAACTGGTTGATCTTGTTCTGTTGGGAGTTGGAGAAATAGCAAAACTCCAAGGCATCCAAAACAAGCAGCGCTGGGTCTGATGAATGTTGAAGGAACCTTGGTATTCGATTGCAGTATATACCATGAGCTCCTGATTCCATATCGTCATTGCTATGAAAAGCGTGGATACCCTTTTCTAAAGACATAGTAGAGATTGCTGATTTGATATCCAACTGTGAATCTTCTGTGCTAATTTGTTGGACTTGTATTTCAGGATGAACTGAGCCTATTAGAAAGGCAAACCGGATGGAAAACAATAAACTCATGACAACAATAATGAGTAGTAAACTAAAATGGATAATTTCAGATTCTTACCAGAAATCAATTTTGAAATACCAAGTGACTGACATAACGCCAGAAGTGATGAATCCTCCGAAAGAATTTTGTATAATCGTCGAATTTCACCGGCATCAAATGCAGAAATTAAACTAAAGCCATTTGTAAATAGCAGAAAAACCAAAATCACCAACGAACTTTCATACTCAGCTGTTATCTTTGCCTTCAAATCCAAGGCTATTTTCTGCGCCGTGTTCTTTACTTCCACAGAAATAAGGGGTGAAATTCTCATTAGTTGCTTCAGTAAAAGAATGCAACTCCTTGACCCTTGCTCCCACAGAGGGTAAGAGCTATAGAACCCTTCAACAACATCCAACACAAGTTTTGCCGAGTCATCTGATATTTGGAGAGCAGTAAAAAGTTCACTCTCCAGCAACTGGTGATCAACCAAATGTGTATCAAGGAAAGACAGCATATTTTTTCCATTCATATTAGAAAGAATCAAAACCATAGCATTTGGAGGGCATATTTCTGTGTTTGGAAATTCAGGATCCATCCTGCCACTCCTCGAGCAACCTGGTAAATCAGTAGATGAAGTATTTTCGACTTCAACCTCTTGTAGATCTTTAGCTGCAAGATTAACATCGTATCCAGAGCCAAGCGGAGTTTCCCTACCTTCGACCTCTCTCTGGACTTGGGCGTTAGAAGGAACAACAGATTCAGGACATTTCTGTTGTACCTTCTGCATTGAAAGCTGTCTAATCGTGTTTTCAAGCTCTTTAGGTGAATATTGAGATTCGAGTTTATGTTCAAGTATACATCCGAGGACAACTTTGACAGCAGATATTCGTTGGTCAAAATCATCACTCTACAAGGACAAATAGAATGTCTGAAGAAATCAGTATCAACATCAAATGATTAAAGGCAGAACAGAAGAATCCCAACAAACATGTTGTTCCGTGTTCTTGGCATTACCTTCGCAGTTCTTTTAACCTGCTTCAAATACTGTTTCAAGATGGGGACTGGAGGAAATTGATCAACAAGCTCAAAGGCATATATCAATTCAATCGCCTGTAGATAATGCTTAGTAACTTTCAGAAGATTTTGGATGAGACCTGTCAACAAATGTATGAAGTATCACAGATTCACAGTAGTCAATCATCAAGCCAGAGAAGACCCAATGAAACACATTCCGGCAATTATTTACCAAGAGTCTGTAGAGTGAATATCAAGAAATCCCATCGATTCATTCAACTTATAAAATACAAAATTATAGTAAAAACCATAGAGATACAGTGCTCAAGTCTTTGTAACATGCGGGTGTAGTGAAATGAAGACTGAAGAATCATGCAAGGAACAGCTTTTCTTGGTTGTTAACAGGTCAACAGGATATCTAGATGCCGTATGGAGATTGAGATTTTAAGAATTGGGAATTAAATCATTCACATCTCTAAATAATTCAATGAACAGAAATAAGCATGGCAAAGAGACATCTCCATGAAACTTTTAGCTTCAGTGGGAGCCAAATCAGAAAGTTGCGAAAACTCAAGTCGAACTAGTGACCAATTAAATAGTAACTAAGAGTCAGCATGGAAGTTAACAAGTAAAGAAAGCAAGGAAGTTTTTGTTTAACAAAAAATCTCAAGAAAAGATCAATCAGGCTGAGTACAGGAACCAACACTGAATGAGCAATCGAACTACCAAAAGAGATAAAACGAATAAGGAAAATCATGTCAACCTGGAATGTTATCCTTCAAACCAAGATGACCACACAATGCAGGTATTTGTGGATGCTCTGCAGCAGTTTCCACAAGTTTCAGGAGCTCCTCTGCATTAAATGCTGAAGCCAAGTGAAATGAAGCCAAAAGGTACAAGAAGCCCAACACCTCAAAGGAATTCCTTGTCAACATCATTGCCTTCCATTCACATGCAAGCCTGAGAGCATGGTCTCTCTCCCGGGATTGGATCGTTGGGGCGAGTCTAGTTAACTGCTCCAGCAACACAACACAGCTCCTGGCAACAGTTCCCTCAAATTTCATGTCCAACTTCTTCAGATAAGGTGGATAAAGTGATTCTGTTGCTTTTAGTACCATGTATGCCGGGGCTCCTGATTTTCGAAGAGCCTTTAGAACTTCATCCTTTGAGCTAAGGTCAATTTTAAAGCCATTTAAGGACATAAGCACGTCCTGACCATCCAGCTTCACAGAGAGTGCAAATTTAGGAGAAGAACCACTATTCATACTCTCATTAACTGCTTCCTTAACTGGCTCTCGAGCACGAAGTTCATCATTCAATTTTTTCAATTCCACTTCAAACTTGTCTCTAATTTCAAACAGCTTGATCTTATCCTCATAGTCCTTCATCTTCAGTTCTATTTCCTTATTTCTCTTCTCCCACGACTCCTTTTCGAGCTGCCATCGCTTCTCTTTCAACCGACATTCCTTCAAACGCTCTTGAGCAACCTCTTCGAGTTCTTTCTTTTCTACTTCCAACTGCTTCTCTCTATGTGTAATCCTATCTTCAAGTTCATTCTTTTTCACTTTTAGCACCTCAATTTCATATTCGAGCAATTTCTTGTCAGACAGGCATTGCTTGTTTTGGATCAGGCACTCCTTCAAACACTTCTCCGCACCCTTGAGTTCTCTCCGTTTTGCTTCCAGATTTTCCCCAACCATTTCGAGTTCTTTAAGGTTCTTAATACTACATTGGAAATCCCTCTTTCTCAACTCCAATTCCTCATTTCCTCTGTTCAACAATTCCTTTTCATCCATGTATTCTTTCTTTTTTACTTGGAATCGCTTCTCCCACATTTCCAACTCTTTCTGTTTCGCATCGAATTGCTTCTCCTTCATGTCGAATACTTTTACTCGATGATCGTGGAATACTAACAATTTATCAATCTCCTTTTCCTTTAACTCAAGATCCTGTTTAATCAACCTTTCCTCTTTCTCCTTCATCTCAATCAACCTTTCCCTGTCTTCCATCAAAGAATCCTCCAAACCCTTCAGATTAACAATCTTTTCCCGTTCCTTAACTTTCTTCTCCCTCTCATCAAGCTCATTCAGTCTCTTCAAAATCCCATCTTCGATCAGCTTAATCTCTTTTCTCCTCTCCCCAATACGCTCCTCCACCAACTTCTCCAGACCCACTAATTCATTCTTCTCAAGCTCCAATTTTTCAGAAATCCCATTGATCAAAACCTCTTTCTCATTCAATTTCCTCTCTTTTTCCCTCAATTCCTCAACCAATTTCTCCTTGCTCTCCTCCCATTCCTTCTCTTTAACTCCCAACCCAACTAGCCTATTCTCCTCATTCTCAATGATCCGAACTCTGTCCTCAAGGTGTTCCCTCAGTAACTTCAGTTCCTCAGAATTCAGCCTTAGTGACTCTTCAACAGAGTTCAAGTTTTTCTCCCTGGACTCGAGTTCCGACTTCCATTCTCGAAATTTCTTCTGGGTCGTCTCCACATACTTGTCGAAGTCCTTGTAAGTACTTAAAACTGATTTCTTGAAGCCATTCTTGTTGGCCTCATTAGAATCAAGGTTTGCTGAAATCTCTTCCAACAACCCCATTATCCCAGTTCTTGCATTTGCTTCTCGAGCTTTACTATTGTCTGGCTGCAGAAATTGTAGATTATAACCAAGATTACCAGATTTCTGAACTGGAGCTTAAGTTCTAAGTAAAAAATATAGTCGTTTATAATTTCATTGAACTTTCATTGATAAAATTCAGAAAGCATTATTATGATGATTTTAAGAAGAGTACAATTTTATGCCAAAAGAATAATAAGAGTACAATTTCAGGAAGAAAAAGTGTACAATTCGAATAATTTGTACTGTTCGAAGATCACAGATTTAGTGGAGTTCTATTATGAGACTCAACGAGTGATAAACTGTCATTTACACTTTCGTTAAATTTTCCATTGATTAAATTCTGAAATCGTTACTCCAAACACATGTTTCCTTTGCACCCTAGTTAAAACATGCTTCATTGTTATCGTTAAAAAAAAAGAAAAAAAAAATCTTCTGCTCTAGTTAATCTTCCTCATTATGACTTCATAAAAATGAGAGTAAGTACCTTTGCTTTCGGATTTCTCCATTAGTTTGTCGGGAGACAAAATTTGAAGACAAATTTTCTTTTATTATAATTCATTATCATTTTCATTCATGTGTTTTTCGATTTAGTGTACGATCATTGTTGATTTGTTGTCGCTTGTTCTTAGAAAAAGAAGTGCAACACCAAATATTTAATCATTACTTGTCAAAGAAGTTGCCAATTTAGGAATAAAAATTTATAGCGTCACGCCACTAAATTCAAATGTTGTACGAGATACTCTCTTTGTCCCAATATTATTGTCCAGTTTGAAAATTCACTTTTATTATAATTTGAATTGGAAATGAAATCCAAACTGGACAATAATTATGGGACGGAGGGAGTATGACAATAGTTCGACTGTTGAAGAAAGCATTACAAATGGCCACAATAATGGAATTTGTATAAAGTTCTTGATGATTAATTTTGCATCAATAATGCACATCGGCGAGCCCTGGAAATTGTGTTTCGGAACATTTCGCAACAGAAGAAACTCTTCTTTTTTTCTTTTTTTTTTTGAAATAAGTACCTGAATATTAGTAAAAACCAAGATTAGTACAATTCATAATATGCAATCATTATATATTAAAGGAGGAGAAGTTTGGGATGAACTGAGCCTTCTGGCTCAAATGAAAAATCTTCCTTAACATGCGTCATAATTATAGTGCCGTTAAAACTAAAATAACTTTTACTGATTGTCACAAGTTCTTTGCGGATTGATTCTGTTATTTTATTTTATTTTTAAATGTGATGTTTTATGGGTAATTGACTGTTAAGATTTTGATGGATATAGGAGGGCGATTGGAGGCTGTTAAGATAATTGTTTTAAATTTGAATTGTTCTGGATAGGAGGCCGATAATGATGAAAAAAAATTAAAAAAAATAATCAATTGGAGATCCATCCTATAAGTGCTTTCAATTACTCATTGATCATTTCAAAAATAAAATAAAATAAAATAAAATAAAAATTACCTATTGATGAAAACCATTAAGTACAGCCCCTCGTTGACCCCCACCCCTGCCTCTCTCCCACTCCTCTCATCTTCTCCGAATATTTACACTAGAGCTAATCATAATAGTCTTCTGTTGCACAGGTTTCTTTGGCGGATATATGGACATTCTCCTTCGATGATTGTTTTAATCGGCGATGAAATTTGGCTTAGAAACTCAAAGAGGGTTCGGTTCCATATTCACTTTTTAATAAAAGAAAACTTAGCTCCTTGTTTGGACTCTTCATCTCTCTCTTCTCTTTTTGCTTTGTTTTGTTTTTTTTTTTTTTGTTTTTAATTGTGTGTAGAGAATGTGGGAAGCTTTTGAACGTATGCTATGTTTTTTCAGGTTATTTGCGAACAGAGACCATCAAAAGTTAACCAATATGGTTGGCGTAGTGGTTCAACATTTCATCCTTTAAGCATGAGGTCAGATGACAAGCCGTCGTCACACTAGTCAAATAATTAATTTCCTACTTAATACAATTATTAGTAGTAAAGCAGAAAGCAGGGTCGATTTCGCAGAGAAGGTTACCAAGTACCGGTTAAAATTATTTCTTATCATTATTTAAATTAACACTTTATCAATTTAAACTAATCTAAACCTAAAACTAACAATTACAATTAATTTAAGATTTTACACAAATAAAAGAAAACCTAGGGCAAAGGGTTCACCTACCGACTACTCATTTAACTCAACTTATAGATATGTGACTTTGGACTTTCATTAATCTCACAACGATTCACCTATTTAAGAACTATTCACTGTCGTGATATAATTCTCTTACTCAAACTAACCCTATGACTACTGTCGTGACTATAGGGATTAATAAAAGCACATTAAGAACTTTAGAATCTCTAGCTGCAAAGGCGGTGTTCTTACTGTCGTGGCTCACTACCTAAGTTTAATATTCCCATGAACTAACGTTAACCTTCAACCGTCGTTCCTTCAGTTAAACACCTTTAAAGCATGCAAGTGATGATCAAATACTCACATGGAATAAAAACAATAATATTAAATATCAACTAATGAATTAAATTAAATTAAATAGTACGGCGGCTACATCCAAAACCCTAGATTAAATAATTTAGCTACAACTCATCTCAAAAATAAATAAAACAATAAAACCCGGGAGAAGAAGGCCAAAAGTTGAGTCCGAAGTTGCTTGCTTCCTTCTCCGATGATGGTGCTGCGCGTGGGATTTGATGCGTGGAAGGGGCTGCACGAGAAGGTAAAAAGGTGAGGGAGGTGGTGCTGTCTCGGCGGTGAAGAGGCAGAGGAGATGGTGATGATGGCTTCGATGGTGAACTCGGTGATGATGGTGGCGAAGAGAGGTGAAGAGGCAGTTGTGGTGCAGGAGAAGATGGGGGGGGTGGTTGATGGTGTATGGTGATGATGGAGAAGCAAGGTGCTGCGTGGTGATGGAGGAAGTTGCAGCGATGGTGATGGAGAAAGGTGGAGGTCGGCGGGGATTTGTGTTTTGCAGCCGTGAGGATTGCGGTCAAGTTCGGTCCAGTCCTATTGTAAAAATAAATCCCTAATCCTCCTTTTATAGGCTTCCGTCAAAACTCTACTTCTTAGAGAGGAAGAAAACTTGTTTTCCAAATAATATTGGGATTAAAATTCTTACACAAATTCAATCCAAATCAGCCACAAGTCATTGTTTCGGCCAATTTCCATAAACCAAACAAGATTCTGAAATTGCTTGTTTAATCCTCTAATTTTTCAAGTACTTCAATTTCTTCTTTGTTAATTTATCGAATCTTCAATTCTCCCCTTTAAGTTACTTTTATCTTCATTTTAGCCCAAAATTTCAACCATTCCTCCAATTGAGTACAATTCCAACGATCAAAGATAAAATCATATAAATAGCATATTTGTACTTAAAATATATTGCAAAAATCACAATTTAGGGATATAATAAATAGCTAAAATATAAGCATATCAAATACCCCCTAAACTTGAATTATTGCTTGTCCTCAAGCATTTTCAAAGATTAAAACAAATAAAAACAGTTAATTATTTAATTTTGGCGGCCTCAGAGATTTAATATCATATAACACAAAGATCTCGACTACCTCTAGTATGTACTAGCTAACAAAATGCAAACCATATGCATTTTTAGCCCCCACGCTTGTGTGTGTGTGTGATTCGTTTCTCAGGGACATCACTTTACATTTAACATAGAAAACAAAAGCTCTACTGCAAATATGTCATATATTAACACATTAACACAAATTCACATTTCATACCATATTTCAATGCAATGGACCACCAGACATGCTATGAAGTAGAAGGACTTATCTCACAGACAACCTATTTCCCCTCGTAACCCATTCTTCGGTCCATGCGGCTTTTCTTCAGGACTCTTTCCAACTCATGCCACTACCCAGAGCATTTTTCCACTCCTATACATAGTGGCTCAGCAACTTAGGGCAGTCTATATATCTATTTTTCCTCACCGGGCCTGAGGACTCTCCCCTCAGATTGCCAATTCCTCACCTCTCAATAGGCTAGCATCAACATTGAATGCTCTTCCTTTTCTCCCTCATTAAAATTAACCTAACCTCAGAAGCATCCACCAACACCCCTCCCCCAAACTTACTTAACACAAAGTGTCAAAGCAATAAGGTTTCTTAAGGCTGGTATTGGGTTAATGCCTTGCTTTTCCTTCACAACATGATAGGTTCCACATACAAATCATATAAGTATGAGTGAATCAAACACAACTTTCATGGCATATCTACATCAAACTTATGCAGCTATACCTTACTTTAGGCTTATCCCACAGTCACGACTAAGTGCATATAAAGCAGGGTATTCAAAGCAACATATTGAATTACACAAGTTAAGCAATACAATTCAAAATAGTCTAATTCTTACATGCTATAGATAATCAAACCATCTTCATCATAGGCCTTTTTTGGATTTTTCAATTTTTGCAATTTTTTTAATGAAAATAAACACAAAACGCACCAAACACAAAACACAAATTCCTCTCCCTCACACTTAAAGCATACATTGCCCTCAATGTATAAAACACAAAAGACAAGACAACCAAGTGAAAAGAAAAGAAAAGACATAAACAAAAAGAATGAAAAGAAATGACACAACCTCGGGAACAGAGGACCGGAATTGTTGAATAAACTGTTGCAACTGCCATCCAAGCACACGACCAACTTCTTCATACTTTTGGATGTTTCATTTTTAGCACCATTGGACACCAAAGTTCCGCCCTTCCAACAAAC